GGAGGAGTGTAGTGTGCAGACAAGTTTTGATCTGCTCCTCACACATTGTGCCTCACACTATCCTCACAGTGCATCGCAGCCGTGCGTTGGGAACATCTTCCCATAAATGATGGCATCATGTATGGGAGATGTTATCAACACACGACTGCGATGCACTTTGAGGTTTGTGTGAGGCGCGCTCTGTGAGGAGCAGATCCAACCTCTGTGCAGACCTATTGCAATCTAATAGCAACATATGTAGACTGAATAAAAGACCACCTCCTGTCCTCCTGTTCTTTACATGGGTAGAGGCCTCTTGTGTGATAAAATTAGTAAGGGAAAATTCCCGATCAGTACCCTATACTTTGGCTCGAGTGACAATTTGGTCCCCGAATTTTAAAATGCAACAATTTAGTACCCAAACTTTCAAGATGTGACAATCCAGTACCCGAACTTTCAAAATATGGCAATCCAATACCTGCCATTAGACCTGTTCATGGGCCGGGTGGCCCGATGGGCTGGCCCGGCCCCCGGACGGGCTTGAGCATGTGTTTTAGCCCGCGGGCTTGACCTCGGGCCTAAAAGCCCGAGCCCGACTATTTTACGGGCCGGGCTCGAGATTTGTTAAAAAAGCCCGACCCAGCCCGACTTTTCCAAAACTACCTAACCCTAACCCTAAATACATAAAATCTTTCTTTTCATTCTCCTTTCTCACTCTCACTCTCAGAAGCGGCTCTCATTTCTCCCTCTCAACTCTCAGAACCGGTGAACCCAACTGCATGTGCGAACTCAGTCACCGACAGCCGACTCCACCAGAACTAGTCATCTCTCTCTCTCTCTATCTCTCTCTCCCCCTCTCTCTCTCTCTCTAGCTGGCACCGTTTTCATCTTCTTTCTTCTCATTCTCAGTTCTCTCTCTTCTTAGAACTAGGTCTTCTATCTTCTTAGTTCTCTCTCCAGCCGACGCCACCAGAACCCAGGCGCACCATTTTCATTCTACGAACTCAGGCACCGCCACATCGGTGGCTAGCACCACCAGATCTAGATCGTCTCTCTCTCTCTCTCTCTCTCTCTCTCTCTCTCGAGCAGTGAGCTCTCTTTCTCTCTCTAGTCGGCACTGTTGTCATCTTCTATTTTCTCACTTTCTGGGTTTCTATTCTCACTCTCAGATTCCCAGGAATCGGCAAACTCAACAGGCACCATTCTCTCAGACGGCACTGGCGCTCAGACTCCCAAGTCGGGCTTCGGGCTCGGACTTCGGGCTTTTTTGAGGGTCAGGCTCGGGCCCAAGTTTTAGGCCCGTTGGTTGGGCCGGGTTCGGGCTCGGGCCTAAAAAGTTTATGTTAATAAAGAGCAAAAGCCCAACTCAAGCCCGGGCCGGCCCGGCCCATGAACAAGTCTACCTTCCATTAACCAATTCGTTAATCAGTTGTTAAGTGACATTTTGAAAAGTCAAAAATGCCCTAAGAATTAATGCCATCTAATTCTCTTTATCAACCATCCAAACATTGACAATAAAATGAACAGTTCCAAATTCTAGATTCTTCTAAACAATCACCAACTTTTTTGAATATAAGAGGCTAGGATTTGGGACTATTCAGTTTTTTGTCAATGCCTGGATGGTTGATAAAGAGAATTAGATGGCATTCGAAGGGCATTTTTGACTTTTCAAATGCCATTTAACAGTTGATTAACGGTTTGATTAATGATAGGTACTGGATTGTCACATTTTGAAAGTTTGGATACTGGATTGTCACATCTTAAAAGTTTGGGTACTGAATTGTCGCATTTTGAAGTTTAGGGACCAAATTGTCACTTGAGCCAAAGTACAGGATACTGATCGGGAATTTTCCCAATAAGTAAATAATAGACATCATAGAACATCATGTGTAACATTCTCATGTTTTCCTTTTCCTATTTAGGCCCTGTTCGCTTTTCGGTAAGTTACTTACTCAAGTAAGTAAGTGCATTTATCCATATTCTTTTATTTCCCATGTAAACAAGACAATGGCCATTTTAGCCATAAAAATTCATTATTAAAAGAAGTATTTTTGTCTCATTCAAGTGTTGACAATTTCTCCTTAGGTAGGAAAGCTATTTACCCATGTAGGAGATGGGTAAAATAAACTTTCACTGATCCCCACATAAATCGAAAAAAATAAAAAGAACATGAGACTCTTATCAATGAAAACCAAAATCCTATTGACCAACTTTCCCCTCTCAAAATTCAGAAAAAGAATGCCCCCTTAATTTAAATTAAAATACAAAGATAATATATGATATAGGAAGAACTTTGATCAATCACAACCTCTAGGGGATTCGATAAATACCAGTTGATACCACTTATTGTACCAGTTGATTGGTTATCAGTTTTTAGGTATTATGCCCTTCTGGTGTCATTGTCAAGACTCTTAAAGATATAAAGTAGAAATACCAGGAAAAATAGATATTTGACAATAGAAGTTTTTTCTAGTGATAACGAATCGGGTGGTTTTCATCAAAATGGATGGGTTTTGATTAATCAAATGCTTTTCCGATAGGCTACTCCTCTCCATTGACCAAATACTCCCATGACACCACGACCACCACCTCGGAATTGATACTTCCATTGAAACCAAACATATTGATTAAAAAAAAAAAAATTGAAACCTAACATATCCCTCTTGTGTTTTCCTCCATAAAATTAATGCTCAACAGTGGCACGAAAAGCACCCAAAACAATCACCAGGTCTAACCCCACCACCACATAATCAGTGCATTCTAAGGTAACTTCAAACCTCAAGAAATATTTGTGACGATTCAAAGGGGTTATAAACTTGGGTTGACTTTTTTTTTGGTAAATTTCAAGATTGAAACCCTTCAAAATGGCCACTTGTCATTTTGAGTTGACTAAGTCCGAAATGCAATACATACCAAAATGTATCAATACTTCGAACCTTGCTCTCAAAAAAATCTCCTAATGCTTCCAAATGGCATTAATTAAGTTTCATTATATTTGCATCTTAATGGCTTGGTTTCCATTAAACAGTTAGATTTTATTGCATTTTCATCAATCTGCTTATTAGGCCCAATCTCATTGTGACACTTCATTTGCTTTTGATCCGTTTAATTGATGGCAATGTGCCTGCTCTATTCAACAAATCAAATGACAATTTGATTGGGTATGGCCGTATGGGGAAGAACGAGAGGATTAGGTCCCTTAGGAAGAATAGAGAAATATTTTCTCTCACAAAATCCTTATTTGCTCCTTCTTTCTTTCTCTCATTTACTTTAATAGTCAATGTTTGTAACATTTTTCTTCCCCATTAAATGCCTATTTCAGCTTACATCTCTCATAATCCCTTTTGGTTCTATTTGATGAAGTAGGGGTGTAAATTAGATGTATGGATTAGGTTAAGGGACAACTCTAAACATGACCCTAGCTGGGATCCAAATTAATGTCAAAACTCAAATTTGCCCACCTAGTACATAGGCTGAACCAATACTCTTCTATAAAATTCAAAAGAAAACACTATTCCTTTCCTTTCCAAGGGTTATCAACTCTTTCTCTCTCTCTCTCTCTCTCTCTTATTAATTTAATGTAGATTTGTTTCATGGATTGTTATGGCTCAATAACAAAATGTAATAGAAATAGTCCATCCCCCAACCCTAGTGGCAATGGAATTTGATCCCAGGTCTTAACTACAATTAGCCAGAGAATCTACCAATTAACCAGTAAACCACCATCAATTGGTTCTCATAATAAATAAGCTATATAAAAATGAATAAATTTGAAGTTCAATAACTAAAAAAAAAAAGTTTTTACTATTTTATATATAAAGAGCTAAAAATATAAAAATTCTAATGAATCACTGTTATTTCATAATAACTATGCTATGCATTGCACAGGTCACCACTAATTTCATATAACTAGAAGAGCCATGCAATGCACGGGCTAAAAAGATGGCTATTCATTAACCGAATTGGTTGTAGATGAGTTTAAATAGCCCCATATTGATTTTTTTTTTAATTTCAAAAAACCATAAAGTTGTAAAAGAATTGTGAAACAATTTGAAAAATCTGGCCTGTACAACAGCATTTTAGAATATAGTATAGGGTGTACCAGCAGCCAGGTCTGTTGAATGTTGTGCACAGGTCCTTCTCATGGTAATCAAATATGTAGGTTAAACTTGGAAGAAAGTTTGAAAAGGATTCAATGTTTGATGATTTACAGGCAACCTCTCTGGCTGATGTGATTTATGCTATTAGAACATCTGGTGCAACAAAACTACAACCACAAGAGGACATGAATTACTGACGTTAAATGGAAAGAACAGGACCTCTCGATACAAATGTTAAGAGCGTCTATTTTTCATACAACTTTGTATTTTCAATGGATAGAAGCAGAGGAAAAGGCTTAAACGTATCAGATTGATGAAACAAACGGAAAATAAGCACTTCCACATTTTTATAGTCAAAGCAATATGCATCATCCATGAACCACCATAGGCGGCATCTCATAATGCCATACACAGACCAACAGGCGACAGCCAGAATCCAGAATATTTCAATTTCTCTGGTGATGCCTAGCCTTTCTTGTTGCCTTTTGCCTAACAGTGGGTCCATTTTGGATTTGGATATAGATATCCCACCAGAACCCTTGACTTCCTGCTAAGGTAGTTGAGGTTTTGAAGAGAACTAAAATATTCCCCCCAGCTTACTCTTCCCTGGATAGCATTTATGGGTTAAGCAGCTGGATTTGTAGTCCTGTACTCCTGTTTGCCCTGCGTTTCCCGGCTCGAATGAAAGCTAATGCCATTGGTTTTTTGAAAGACATTCTGTTGTTTGGATGCATACATCATTGGCATGTAGCAAATTCATATTTCCTACCTTTTTTGGTACTTCATATTTCTTGCTTGGCTAATAAATATATTCAGTTTACTAATGAGTTGTCTATGTTAAATCAAGATCTTTAATCTTCTTTTGGTGCATCCAAACAGGCTGAAACCCTGAAATAAGAATTCCAGTAGGCCAAGAAACAATTTTGGGTAAATACATGTGGTGGGGGTGGGGGGGATTTATTCTTAAGCTTACAACACAAAGTTCATTTCATTTACAGTTTAAAGCATGCACCAGATCAAGCATATAATTTCTGGTCTTAGGGTCAGATTATTCACAGTTAAATCAACGAGAATGATGGCCATGGAATAAGGCTAGGAAATATATTTTAAGGGCCATGTCTATTGTTCCCTCCATATTCGACCAGTCACTCGCAGCTTCAGCTCCTGTCTATTGCCACCGGAGAAAAAGAGTGCCATGTTACGGTGAATGACCAACCCATCATAACTGTCACGGACCTTCCTGTGGCTGTCTCGAATGCTTCTTGGAACCCCCTGCCATATTAGTTTCCGGCCATATCCACCTACTTCTAGACTGTAGCTGAAGTTCTTTGCTTCGTTGTCATCTCCCATGAATCTCAGGAAAGCCATATAAACTGGAGCTATTCCCAGAAGAAATGCCTCAAAGTGTAGACAGAAGTGTTGCCCAAAGCAATTAAAAACCTACATGAAAGATTAACAGTTTAGCCAACGAGGGAAAAAAAAACTAGAAAATGTATGTGCAAAATGCTAAATATATGCAATATGCTATAGAAATTTAGAGAACACATTGGAATTTGGAAATACTGCTTCTACACAAATTTTAAACAATAACACCAAGGTGGCAGCCCAAAATGTTTCCACATGTTCTCCTGGGTTTACCCTCTCTAGGGATGGTCCTGGCTTTCCAGGGTCTTGAGAGGGGTAGACTGGACATGGACCTAATCTTTGGCTTTATTTTATTTTATTTTTATTTTTATTTTTGCACAAAGTTGCAGCTCTCAAGCTTGAGCCGGTTTTCTCATGCTTTATCAGCCTGAGATTTTACCACTGTGCCATGCAATGGCCCCTCGGTCATTCTCCTTGTGGAAAATTAAGCCAATGACCTCTGCCACAGGCAGAAGGTTACCATTTCAGCTTAGGTTATTCTAAAAGTTTCAAGAAAAGTCAGGACTATCATTCATTGGGGAAAAGTGAGCTACATCAGATGGCTTAGCTAGACAAGCGGTGTTATGGGGAGTTAAGCTACTTTAGCTCTTTCTATGTATTTTCAGTCTTTAATCATTTAATGAAATCTCTGTTATTGATAGGAAAAAAAAAAAAAAACAAAAGTAAGCTACATCAGAGTATGGGGCCCAGATAAATAAAAGCAACGCTAACACTATGTGCTTTTTATCACAAGGAACTTGATAGGTTATGGGTATTTTCATTTGTTCTTTGTAGTTTATATCCAACTAGACATTATTTCTAGGATTAAAATACCCCAGTATGTACAGAAGAGGAATATAAAAGACATAATTAAATGGGAAGGATTCTCCTTGTTTTGTTGATGGGGTTTTGTTTTATCTAATTTATTGTATTTTTTGGCTAAATATTTTATTTCATTTTTATTTTATGGATTCTGATATCACTTTGTGATAATGATACCGATTTTCTAGGTAGCTGCATTTTTCTCTGTATTGCAAAAATATAGAAAAATCAACCACTTCCTAGTTAGATGGTAACTTAAGGTTCTGTTGACTCTGATAAATCAAATGGTTGTGTTGGTCATTGCTGGAGTCAGGATTCATAATTTTCTTTTTTCTTCTTTTCTTTTCTTTTTTCTTTTCTTTTCTTTTTTTTTTTTTTTTTTTTTTTTTTTTTTTTTTTTTTTTTTTTTTTTTTTTTTTTTTTTTTTTTTTGGGGGGGGGGGGCTCTATTAAGATGGAAGGACACATCCTATAATTCTCCCACATATACAGGTTTTTCAAACTTTAAGCCCCACACCCCTTAGCTCTGCCCCCAATGTTGGTGAAACCCATAATATCAGCCTTCTTCATCAGTAACCAATCAAGGTTCAAAGTATCAATAAAGGGGTGTATCAGTACTTTGTACCACATGCCACTTATCTGCTTTAGTTTTTTTTCTCAAAAATAGGACAGGGGTAGGTCTTAGACCTGCCTACCCCTTGAAATAGGTCAAAATCCCAAAAGCTACATATTTGGCATATCGGTGATCCACCAGTACAATATGTATCGGCCGATAAGGCCTGATACGTGACGAAATTTTGAACCTTGTAACCAATATACCAGCTTGCCTCAGCCATACAAAGCCATGATGAGAAGGAAAAAACATGACTTACAGTGAGCATCCATGTTGCATTCTCAACCTCTTGTGGATTGGATTTGACATAGCGATGATTAAATGTGCATCCGTCATGCATGTCCACCTTGTGATCATTTTTAAGGTGTGCAACAAGTGTTGGAATATCACCGGTAACCAGGCATTCTGAACCCGCATAGGGACAATTATAGGGTCTGAATCTGCACAGCTGCTCATGTTTCAATTTACTATAATAAGGGAACATGTCAGGACATCCAAGGTTCTGAAATCGGCAAGGAAGTTCAAGTGACTCAGCCACTTTCTCAAGAGCTAGGCACCTTATGTTTCCCAATTCGAATCTGCAAGTAGGACAGTGATTATGAACTCTAGCTTTGCAATTCGAGCAAAGTGTGTGGCCATTTGGACACTGCAAACATCCATACCACAGCAAATAAATTGAAGGCAAAATAAACATAATATAGAATAAACAACACAGAATGTACTGGACAAGAAAAATGGTGGTGAATGTCAGAAATATGAAAAGGTAAAAAACAAGTTTAAGAACCAGAATTTCTGGACTCTCTAGAGACTACAAAATAACTAAGAAAGAATTTCTTATATAATATTATTATAAGCCACAAAGCAAGAATTTGACGTATTTAACACAACATAAATGAAAAGGATCACACCACAACATTAAAACTCAACTAAAATTGATTTAGCTAATCATTTACTTGCAGTCTTCACAAAAATACTAATGAGAGTAAAAGGAAATGCAAAATACATCTGCAATATCAGGTTGAACAGTATATTATAAAATAAAAACATAAAACCAGAGACAATTATGTCTCATTTTATACAGAACTGAAAAATGAAACATGAGCTCAGAAATAGGGAGAAGGACCTGGTGTATGGGAGGATACATGGAATTGGTGCAAACTGGGCACTCAAGTAGCTCATGCACACCGCTGGTTGATGACAAACCCACTTGAGCATTAGAAATGTTGGAAATTTTACCCGTCAAAGCACTCTCCATTTCATTTTTAGTTGAAGATAATTCCATATTCATGGACAAAGATTCTGGAACCTCTACGCGGATACTGCTTCCTGGAGCCATCCAAGGCCAACTGGCTTCAGTTTCTCAAAATCTGGGTACCTAATAATTCTTATAGAGAACAATGTTCAAATTCCTGCCAAGGAACTCGTCCATTTGATACTTGAGAACTTAAATTAACAGAAACCCAGTCTCCTCATTGCCATGGAATCAATTATATGAAGTACGGATTGAGGTTCATTAACTGCAGATCACAAAAGAAAAGGAACTCAAATAAGGCATGGGAGCAAGTTGTTGATTATATAACCATAGAAAAAGTTTAATGCACTTGCAAATACCCAGCAGAAAAAAAAAAGAAAAAAAAAAACACAGAAGGTTTAAACTTGACAAAATACATTAGTTAAAACCAAGAAAAGGAGAAGATTTAGAATTTAAAAGATCCAACCATAACATGTAAAAGTTGAAAAGCTAACGAATCTAGCTTTCTTACTTGTTGATATTACCAATATCTAGAATATAAAAATAAACAGAAGTTAGAATCAGCAAGAAAATTAGAAAGAATTTACATAATAATTGTTAAGAAAACTAAAAATCCTGGAAATTATTCACAAAATATACTTTATTTCTTCTTAAAGAATCACTTATGAAAATTCAAAATAAATTCAGCTCAAGCACCCGTTTCACACAAAGGACTAAACTATCAGAGTCGAAGTAAAACATAAACAACATGCAATTCAGTTTCAAATACACAAATGTAAGTCCGAGTCCAGATGCTGCTAAAGAAACAGGAAATGCAAAAAAATAAAAGGGTGAAAGGAATTTCCACCGACATAAACTCAACCAGACTCAGACCCCCTAAACTCACTGATTCAAACCATTCGACCAAAACCCATTTGAAATTCAAGCAAACCCTAATAACCCAAATCTCCAAATGTCACATTTCAAGTACCTGCGGATGGAAAGGGAAGTTCCACAACAAAACAAAGCGACAGAAAAAGAGATAAAGAGGGTCAAAACCCTAGAGAAAACAGTAGAATCTGTAACTCCACGGTTGAATTCAAGGACTAAACAAGCCACAAGGAAATCGAAGAGGATAAAGAGAAGAATCTAAAAGGGGAAAGAGATTCATCACCTCGACAACGGCCGAGAGGAAGATTACGAAAGCGCAGAAAAAAGGGAACCCTAAAAAGTTTGCTCCGACAACGCGTGGGGGTTTGATGTCGTATACGGTTCCCTGAGTTTAAGAAACAACGCGATTTGTTCTGTCTGCTTAGCCTTTGTCCATTTGTATGCGAGTCACCGCTTTCACTGAAGAAACCTTCTAAGTTGTAAGCCTAGCCTACTACACACCGAGAGAAGAGGGGAGACGGTGGGGGTGTTGGCGGAACGGAATAACGTAGACCAGATCGTGCATTGGATTGGAATCTTTTTTGCTCAGAAATTTATATAAATATTAAAGAGAAATAAGTTTTTTTTATAGGCCTTCCTTACAATTTACAAAACATGGGGGTTCCTAACGATTTTTTTTTTCTTTTATGTTAGCCCCCTCTTTACTTTCATTTGTAACAAAAATCTACCGTGAAACTTTGAGATTCCAACGTTTTACCCCTATCTAGTAATGGAAGAGATTCAGTGGATGTGGAATCATCATTTCATAAATTAACTAGTTAATTGAACTTATGTCGTGTTGATGTCATTTTGATTGAACACATGTTATGCTTATTATAAAATCTTATTTGTTTTAACTGTTTGAAATGAATTGTTTGTTGTGTTTTAGATGCTATTTATATTTAGATGATTTATTATCTATTGGTTTTTCCATTGTCAAGTGAGAGGGGATCATAGTTCATTAAATAAATGTTTATATTTGATTTGTTTTTAAAATCGAGAAAAGCATTTGATAAATCATTTATTAATAACTAGGTATCATTAGGCACCACATCAATGGAATAGTGAATAAATACTTAACTATTAAGGAAAGTGTTAAAATGAACCTTCCCCTAACGGTTGATGCACACATAAATCATACCTACTTTTGTGAATACCTATGCGTACAGATCAACATGATAGGATAAATAATAATTTGGCAATAACATACATGACACCATACAAAACACCGCCTATATAGACAAAGCAATACTTTGATACACACCAAATGCCACCTCAATCTCATTTCAATTGGCTAACTCCTTCAACTATGTCCATAGCATAACAACAAATATTTTGATTTTATTGTATTTTGTGGTTGAAACATCATATAATGTGTCTTATGGGTGTGGGTGTAGTTAGTAATGATCTTAATAGTCTTGAAGTGATGGAGGGATAATTTCTTAATTACTATGTTTGATTAGATGATTCAACGTACAGATTTAGCTTTACAAAAATTATGTTTCAGCCTAGGTTCGTTAGATAATTTCTTGCCATGGAGAGCATAGTTCAACATAATGCATGAGGCGTGAAGAACTCATATGGGACATACACTTAAATACATTATTAGTTTGAAAGAAAAATATAATTATAAGTTTAAATATATGCATAAAGAGTTTATTATGGTTTATGACATCTCTTGGATTTCCATTTTGAACAATCCAATCGAACTGTTGGACGTATATCTTGATATATTTTAACTGTTGGGTCTCTAAATAAGCAAATATTGGTTGTTAGATAGGAAGCTAGCATAAGATAAACATCAACCTGTGTTGGTGCAATATATGCGTCATATACTTGATCAAAAAAATCACCCACAATTGTTTCACTTCAAACCAAAATGAATTACAACGTGAAAACATTGCTACTTTTCCTATATGACAACAACAATGTCAAACAACAAAAGTAGTGTTTTTGTGGTCATTTTTACGCCTTGTTTGATGATTAAGTACTTGTTAAAAGTACTTGTTTTATAAGTATTTCTTAAAAGTACTTATTTTAACAACTACTAAGGTTGTTTGGTGAACCACTTTTCAAATCACTTATTATGTGTTTAAGCACTTATTGGGGTGGCAATGTTTGGTAAGCTACTTTCCTCATAAGTACTTATATTGACACAAATGACAATTTTAACTGTCACTTCACTCATACATATATACAATGATTTTCACATGTTATAGTATATATTTCAACTGACAGCCCATGTGGGCTATCATGTGAATTTAATTAATAATAATAATAGTAATAAATAATAATAATAATAATAATAATAACTACTATTAACAACAACAACAACAATAATAATAATAATAGTAATAGGGGAAGACGACAGAGAATAGGTCTCCAAGCTGATGCAAGATGCCGACAAGTCCAGTCATGGCGACGCTTTCAAGTAGCGCTTCGGGGTCATCTTTATTAGCAGCTCTGTACAGCTTCGGATCGACGATGTTGTACTCGTTTCTTATCCGTACCTTGTAATGGGAATTTCGTCCAAGTATCACAAACCCTAGTTTCTGAAACTGAGTTTCCACTCTAATTTTACCGCTATATTTTCGCCATTAAAAGCCCCTAACAAATTTTCATTAGGGAGGGAGAGAGAACAACATCAGGGCCTATAGGAAATGCAATACGCAAATTCAGAAGTTTTGATGATAGGAACCACCACTGGGAGCAGTTATAGTTCGCCAAAATCCTTATTGAAACTGACAATGCGATGAAGATTCCAACACTATTGGACTTGTTCTACATAGAAGAAAAGTTCAACTAAGAATTGTAGTAGCAAGGAGAGAAATAGGGGAGAGATTGGGAGAGGAACTTACGAAGAGGGGCCAAGATTTGGCGAATAGAAGAAAAGAAAGAAGAAAGGTTTCCAATGTCAAAGTTGGTCAGCGGGGAGGTGAGGTAGATGAAGGGACAAAGCAAGGGAGGGAGGGGTGGAAGGAAGATGACGAAGCTGAAACCGTGAAGCGTCAAATTGGGGAGTAGGGACAAGTCAAGGAAGAAGATGATGAATAGTGCTTTTTGGGCGTGGGGGTATTTTAGGCATTATAAAAAATTATCAATGACTGGTTCATTCTGTTTTTTTTTTGGAGAAATATTTCTTCAAGAAGTACTTAAAAAGAGTCAATTTGAAGTCACTTTTTCAAAGAAGTACTTCTTCCCCACTTTTTTACCAAACACTCATAAGTACTTAAAAACCACTTAATGTGTGGTCTCATGTCTTAAAAGAAGTACTTGTTAAAAGAGGTACTTCTTTTAAGTGTTCTCAAACACTATCTTAGTGTGATATGGTGTTTCAGTTTCCTCCAAAAAAAATGCCTCACTCGATGTTGCCATGATACCAAACACCATCTTAGTATCTTATTAATGAGTTCAACGATAAAAAAACAAAATTTCTAAAATGCCCATCTAACGTTTGATGGACTAAGAGTCTACAACTTGAGAGAAGAAAATATTAAAAGAAAAATCATGAAAATAGGCATGTTAATTAAAAGCCGGGTTAGTTTCTCTTGTTGTATTTTTAATTTTTTTGCATGTTTCTATTCTTTTTTTTTATTTTAATGTACTTTATCAATTTTCTTTGAAATTCTTCAAAATGGTCTCATGAAATGGGAAAAATCTATGATGCCAGAAAGGCATGGTGTCAAAAGAGCCTTGACCAATCAAAAATCAAAACCCAGATGTAAATTTTGATAAATACCACCCGATTGACTAACACATTTATGATACCAGTTGATTGATTATAAGTTTTTCAGTTATCATATCTTTCTAGTATTCTGGAGTTTTAGAAGCCATATGAAAAATCTTTTCTAAGTCAATTGACAGGATATTAAAGGAAGGGGCAAAGTGCTGGAATCTAAAAGTCTAGGATGGGTATTTATTGCAAATGAAAGTCGAGGGAACTAAGTATGACTACCTCAAATTATAGGATGGGAATATGTAATATACCTTTTTCTTCCTCATTTTGGTCTGTTATCTAGTTTTATCTAACATATACAGGGCTGATTTGGCAAAACAGACTGTCCATTGATAAGGACATGTTGACTTTACATGTCAGCCCTACATCGGCTAAACCCCACCGCTCCACCCATTTATTAGAGTGATTGCTGAAAGTGAAATTTGTAACTGAAAAGCTTTCACCATTTTACTTTCAAAGACATAGCCAAGGAAAGGACTGGGTCTTGCCTTTGCCTCTTCTTTTTTAGCCACCTGGCAAGAGCCTAGGGGGCGGTAGGGGTTGAGAATGGTAATCCCTCCAATTGATAAACAATAAGAAAGGAAGTGAGTAATAAATGGTGAAGTGAACTCAAATTGAATATCTATCAATGCTTGTCAGGATGAATTGATTGATGATGATGACAATGATGAAAGCTCTTATTCAGGGCCATCCTTGGGATACAAGCAGGGAAGATAATTGAGCATGGCAGCACAAATTTGGAATTGTGATTATTCCGTTGTATGTGTAATCCACATATTAACAAACTTTGATATATATGACGTTTGGAGGTGATTAGTTGTTAATTAAATGAAATCGAAACCCAATTTCACTCCCACAATCTGATTTTGCAGAAATAGACATTTTAAGTTCATTAGAAAGGAACTGAAATGCTGTATTAGTTATCAAAATCTGTCGCATTCAAAACATTATTGGGCTTTTGAATACAATTTCCAAGGAATTTTTCCCATCTGAAAGAAAAAAGTGCATCATTTACACGTTACTAAGAGGTGGCAATTGGCTGGATTTGGTACGGGTTGAGGACCAACCCACCCACTAAAGTGCGGGTAGAATAGAGGGTGTTTGTGTGTAGGTGCAAGTGGAAAAAACCTTGTATATATATTGTGTATGACACGTAATCATGTGTGGGGGGGGTAAAAGAGTATTTTTTGTAACCAATATTTTTTTAGCCAAAAAGTTAAGCATGGAATTGAGTGGGTAATGTAAAGCTTCCAAAACAGTCATGACTCATGACACGTTACAATAGTGTGGGGCAAAAGAGTATTTGCAACCAATACTCTTTTAGCCAAAAAGACAAGCAAGGAATTGAGTGGGGTAATGTGTCGCAGGAAGCTTCCAAACAATTTGGGCTGTTTTTTTCCAAACAGGCAAAGTTTTTCCCGTATAATTTGGGTTGAGGTAAACCCTAAACCAACCAAAGTTGTTGAAGCTTACCGCTGATCTAAGTCATTTGGGTATTTCTTTACTTTATTATGCTCAAATGTTCTTATTTCTTAGGCTTAAGATTGATGGGTTAGGGTAACTGGTTTTAGAATTATTATATATTGGAAGAGAGTTATGGTGCTTTAGGAGTAATATAATTAGGGACTGTTTGGTTCATAGTTGAAATTGGAATCAAAATTCCTCATAACCAAAATCAGAATAGTCTAATATTTCCATAGTTTGTTGACTCTAGATCTCCTGCCCATGTCTACTCACAATACACTATCCCTCTGAATTGGGAACATCTCCCCCTGCATAAT